TTAGAAAATTAATTAGACTATAAAGGTACGTTTGGACTTTTCAGATGGAGGGTGCTGCATGATTCACTTTAATGTGATTTTGAAAGAGGCTATATTCAGTACTAGATGGTCTCCTTTCAAATCATGGCCCTCCAGGATATGGACTGTGTGACCCTGAACCAGGCACACAGCCTCTCAATTCAAACCAACCCCGTCTATACTAAGCATAAGGACCGGTGATGCATTAGGCTGGTATACTTAAAAATACAAAGGTGGATGAGTAGTGCTTCTGACCTTGAGGGGTTAATAGTAACTCCCCCTGCCACACAAAGGGGTGGAGTGAGCTTCAGAACAAATAATGGGTGTGAGTGTTTATGCCATCCTATAAAGGCCTCTCCAGATGTAAACCAGAAATTGTTTGTGTTAACATTAACTTTGCACTATGAAAGGAGTATAAAAGAAATGTGAGGGTACATGGAAGAAGCCTTTACAACCTAGGCAGTGGGTAAATAAATTCAGTGTCTCCAATCTGAATCTCCAATCTCGGTGACAGAAAGAAAGGCCCATGTTCAATTGGATTCCATTGCACGACACACAACCCATCCCCCACCCCGGGATTACAGTGAGATGGCCAAGAGGAAACTGGTCCTGTGAGTCATCTGAGACCCAGGTCAAGCCTTTGGGTAGGCCTATCCTGTCCCAGAGCTCTTCATTTACATGTCGTTGTTAGGTGCCATCAAATTGGTTCTAATCCACAGCAACCCTATGCAAAACAGAACGAGACACCACCGAGTCCTGTGCTCCAGCCCATTCACATGGACCTCTGACACTCCTTTTTTGCTTAGGCTAGACTAGCGGCCCTTCCTGACAGAGACCTACTGCCTGTGGGGGCTGAGGGCATCGGAGTCTCTATGAATGATTCTCGGGTTCCAGGTATGTGGTGGAGCAGATGGGGGCACACAGACAAGGCATATAGGATAAGAAAAACGTCTAGGGAAAGGCTGCTTCTGGTGTATTATCATAGCCAACCTCATTTTGTTCATTCCTCCTTCCTCCAGTCTGTTGCCTAGAATCTAAGTGAAGGCCTGGAAGTCCAGCCATCATCTCTTGCCATCAGAATGAAGGGCATTCCCTCATTTAGCTGGGGTGACGGAGTACAGCACAGGAAGGAGTCTGGTACCCTCCGGCTCTGTGGAGCCCCTACCCTAAGCCTGACTGCTTCCTCCTCCAGGCTGCCCTGCTTGTGGGAGGGAAATAGACATCTGTCTTGACTTGGGGCTCAGATGACTCACAGGACCAGTTTCCTCTCTCTATTTATAGATCCCTTGGCCCCATTCTCCTCCATACCAACCATTTCCTCAAACACCCCACCCCTGTGGCTCCAAGATGGCTGTGGCAGCAGCCTAAGACCTCAAATGTTCAAGATCAACAGGAAGAACCAGAGGCTTTTGCCCAGGTTTAGTGTCATTCCATTGGCTTTCATTAGATCCTTCTTCCTTCCTTCACCCTTCCCTGATACCTCACGAATGGGGTTCATTCACTGGTGTGGCTCGGTTGCCGGTAGTGTCCCATGGATGTGCACTAACTCTGAGTAGGCAAGGGGTGGAGACTCAAGAGGACTGGAAATAGAGTGCCCATCAATCAACCAAGAGACAACACAGTGATGCTGCTCTCTGTGATGAGTAAGTCTATTCGGGTCCATCTCCTTTAATTCTCTACTGTTGTCCACACTGTGTTCCCTTCCACAGCTTGGTTCAGAAACCCTGCCTACACACACACCCATCTGACCTGGTCTCCAGCATGCCCACTCATGACCTCTGCCCACCCTCCACACTCCTATCAAGGACTTTTTCTGAACACAAATAGCCCTTGGAATCTCTCCTAGTTAAAGCCCATTCTGTGGGTAGGCAGACTGTGACCCACAGGCCAAGTCCAGGATACTACCTGCTTTTGTAAATGGACATGAGCTAAGGATGATTGTTAGATTTTTAAATGATTACCAAAAAGTCAAAAGATGAGTAATGCTGTGTGATAGAAATGATAGAAAGTGCAAACTCCCATGTCCATACATGATTGTATTGGAACACAGCCATCCGATGCCGATTGTCTTTGCACAGCAACAGCAGAACTGAGTAGTGATGTCCAGTAGTCTGGCTTGCAGAGCCTAAAATATGGATTAGCGGGTGAGTTTTCCAGCCCCGGCTCAAGCTCCTCCATCAGCTTTCCAGGACACCTCTTTGACCTGACACTCAGACGCAGGCACACTGCTCTCCTGAGTTGGTTCCTTGAATGCATCCCCCCACTCCCACCCCACCCCGTATACACCTGTGTTCTTGTCCTCTCATACCGACTCCTCTGCCTAAAACACCCTACTCTGAGCCCTTGGCTATCTGGTGAGCTGTTTCTCAGGACCCTCAAGCATCAACCCTGCTATAAACTGTTTCTCCTATCTTCGTTGTAACCTGTAGATAGGGGTCCTCAAACTACCGTCCGTGGGCCATATGCGGCCCGCCAAGGACATTTATCTGGCCCACCGGGTGTTTTTCCCCTTTTTGTTTTTTACTTCAAAATAAGATATGTGCAGTGTGCATAGGAATTTGTTCATAGTTTTTTTTTTAAACTATAGTCTGGCCCTCCAGCAGTCTGAGGGACAGTGAACTGGCCCCCTGTTTTAAAAGTTTGAGGACACCTGCTGTAGATGCTTCTGTCTTGGCTCTTTCAAAACAGTGTGGCCTCTGTATGCTTCCCTATGCCATATTTTCTACTAAATAAGTCTTTGGGAGTGTCCCAGCAGTATGTCTTGAAATCCTTCTACATTTAACCGCTGTCCTGGGCGTGGGGATGTATCCAGAGAACTCTCTTCTTTCTCATCCACAGTACCTGGATCTCTGTTCTGAATGTGGTGGGTATGCAATAAATGTCTGTTCAGCAGGGTCTTGGAAGCCACTTAAGAGCCAGGAATAGCTGCAAGTTGTCCCTCAGTAATCCATGACATCAGCTCTATAATATTTCACCCATTTTCTTTTTGGCTTTCTTTGTGCAGCAGGGGTGGAGGAGAGGGGCCGAAAGGGGAGGTTGATATTAGGCCTTGATTCCAGTTCAGTGATGCGGCGGTTGCTGCTGCTCCCTTGCTGCTCCAGTAATACTTAAGCAAACTGAATAGATAATAAAAGTGACTGTGGAGCACTTTGGGGATATGAAAAGGCACATTGTTTTGTTATTGTTAAGTGCCATTGAGCCTGTTCCAACTTATGGCAACTCCGTGTATAACAAAACAAACACTGCCTACCCCATCCGCCAGCCCACAGCTCTTGCTAATGTTGATACCTGTTGTTCAAATCTCTGTGTCCATCCATCTTATTGGGAGTCTTCCTCTTTTTCACTGACTCTCTGCATCACCAATCACAGTGTCCTCCAGGCACGAGTCGCTCAGGAGAACATGAAAACATGTCCAAAGTGCATGAGAGAAAGGCTATCATCCTCACCGTTTTTTTAAATTTTTTACTGTAAATTGGGTGATGGCTACAGAGGAACTCAACTTTCCTTTCAATGACACACACATGTTTAGTTTGCAGAGCCCGCAAAGCAGCATCTCTCATCCCATTTCCTGCCTGTGTTTCCCTTTCCAGTTTCCCTTCTTTCCAAACACTTTTGAACTTGTTTCCTTGGTTAAATGCTGCCCTTTTGGTCACAAATGGTTGCTTATTCAAAGAATGAGTGCCTCCCAGTTCATTTCTCTTATAGACGTGTCTCTTCTTTGGCTATGGAGCCCTGGTGGTGTAGTGGTTACATGTTGAGCTGCGAGCCATGGGGTCGGCAGTCCAAAATCACCAGGAGAAATTCGAGAGAAAGACTGGGCTTCTCCATAGAGCCAGGGGGTGAATTCAATGCCAAGCCTAAAGGATGGTTAATGGCTACAATCTCAAGGGTTCTATCAGTCTCTGTGTAATCAGTAAGCTTGGACTTTTTTATGATCTTGTATTTTGTTACACATTTTTCTCCCACTCTATACAGGGCCTTCTAGCGCAATTCCTTTCAGAGCAGTTGGTCATCTAGCCGGACCCCATCTAGTTCTTCTGGTCTCGGGATCTGGGGGCTGACAGTGACGTGGGTCACTATTTCATTGGACTCCTTGTTTCCCTGCATCTGCAAGCTTCTTCCATCTTCCTTACTCCAGACAGGGAGAGACCAATAATTGCCCTTTTGTGTTTCTAAAACTCCGTCCCCGTTCACCAGAGTAGGGTTCATCTTTAATTCTAAAGCGCTTCCTGGTTGTACTTCTTCCAAGATAAATGTGTTTACTTTTCTGATGGTCCCTGGTACAGTCGATCCTCTCTGCCCCCTCCATGACACAGAGACATCCATTCATCGTCATAGTCCTTCGTCATAGTCCGGCCCTTGCATTCCTGACTTTGTATTGGCCTTTTGCTTTCTTCGTGCATGATGTCCTTGAGGTCTTTAATGCATCAGCTCTAAATTCAGGTGGGATATAGTCAAGGCTGTACACAAGGCTCTTGTGGACTTCCTTCAAAGTTCCTCAGCTTCAACTTGAGATTGCACACCAACAATTGTGTCTGTGTCATAGTTGGCCCCTCACCATGTTTTGGCTGACGATACCGAGCTGCCCCATCGTCTCATTCCACAAAAGTAATCATCATGATTCCTGTGGGTTCCATCCAGTGAGGTCTATGTGTATATTTGATGTTTTTATTTTTGAAAAACAGTATTCCCATTGAATAAGTCATTGAGCTTGTACAATCACATGATCGTCTATCACGTGATCTTACCTGTTGTTTTGATCGCCAAGGCCACAAAGACATAGAAAAGTTAAATGAACACATGAGTAAGGTGTGGCATAAATTATGAAAATGTTCTACACTCAGCAAGGTCTACATCATTTTAGTTGGGAACTGCAGCATTACCAAATTTTAAATCTTTTCTTTGCCTTGAGACCCATGTCTCTGCTTCATTTGCTCTGCTTTAATTTTCTCTTAACTCCTCTTCTTCCCACCACCCTTTAGATGCTCAACCTGTTTGTGGCTGTCATCATGGACAACTTTGAGTATCTGACTCGAGACTCCTCCATCCTGGGACCTCACCACCTGGATGAGTTTGTCCGCATCTGGGCGGAGTACGACAGAGCTGCATGGTAGGTAGCCCTGTGGGCCACCCCAGGGGATGCAGATCCAGGGCCTCTGGAGTTCTCATTGGAAGAGGCTGGAATTCGAGCTTTCCAAATGTTTGCCTGTTGCAGAAGGATCGAAGATTCTTTTCAACCTTGCTCTGACGCCTCTGCTATCAAACCAGTTACCAAAAACTCACCCTTTTTAACTTCCTTAACCTGTTTACTTCTCCGGCAGGCCTTTCTCTTTCCTTAAGCAGCCCCCCACCACTCAGAGATCCCTCCGAGTGTTTGGCTGAGTCCTCAAGGGGCTTCCCATAAGCTCTCTTCTTCTCCGCCTGCCAGTCATTAGTGGACTCTCTGAGTCACCAGAGTTTGGCCAGCTGGACAATTGATCACCGTAGTTAGTGACATTAATATTTCATTTCATACGCTCAACAAATAGAATTTGAGATAACGGAATTGATACACATTTTTAAAAACAAGCACGTTTTTCTCCCACCTGCTCTGGTAATCACTTGGGTTTTATTGCATAGCATTGGACTAAATGGCAGGCATTTGCCGGTTAATTACCTTCCAAGTCTTTTCATTGTCCTGTTGTTCTGAAGGGATGATGTACTTCCTGGGCCTCAGAGCAAGAGTTGGCAAAACAGAACGTACAGACTAAATTTTCCCACTGCCACTTTTGAAGCAAGTTTCATTGTAATACCACCACACCCATTTGGGCTGCTCACCAAAAGGTCAACAGTTTGAGCCCACTAGCCACTCCATAGGAGAAAAACAGGCTTTCTTGAAAAGATTGAGCCCTGGGAACCAGCAGGGCAGTTTTACTCTGTCCTGAAGGGTCACTGTGCATCACAATCAGCTCTTTGGCAGTGCGCTTTGGTTTGTTTTTGGAATTTTATGGCTATTTAAGGAGCTCTTTCAAGAGCTCTAGTGGAGCCTTAGTGGCATGGTAGTGTTACGTATTGGGCTGCTAACCAGAAAGTCAGCAGTTCAAAGCCACCAGCCACTCTTCAGGAGAAAGAAGAGGCTTTCTACTCCCATAAAAAGTTAGTCTCAAAACTCACAGGGGTGGCTCTCCCCAGTGAGTTGCTACCACCAAGCATGGCCTTGATAGCAGTGAGTTGGATTTGGTTTTCTGAATAGCACAATGGGTTTCACTTTGGGCTGTTAACTCCAAGGTCAGCAGTTCATACTTCTCCAGGGGATAAAGATGAGGCTTTCCTACTCCCGTAAAGATTTACAGCTTCAGAAACCCAAAGGGGCGATTTTGACTCCTATGAGTCAGAATGGAGTCAATGCCAGTGAATTGTTTTATGACTACTCTACACAGGATTTAATAACAATGCCAAAGATAGTACAGTCCCAAGACTGCAAAATATTTACTATCTCAAACTCTTTAGAGAAGAAAAAAAAAACCTACCCCTTGCTTCTTGCAGTGGGGCAGCCTTTGGGCTCCCTCAGCTGAGGTCAGCGGGGGAGCTCTTAAGAACACGAACTCTACAGGAAATGTTCTGTCCCCGGTCCTCTTAGCTTTCGGATCTGAACTTTCCTGTGGGTCCGCTCTGTCTTCCCTCTGCAAGTACAGTACGTGCACAAAGACTACTCCCCTGGACAGGGACGGGCCATGCCGCTTCCTCCTGGAGCTACTTCCTCATCCAAAACTTCTCAAAACCCATCCTCCTGGGAGGCAGTGGAACCTGGATGGTGGCTCCAGGAACTGGAAAAGTGAAAGAGGAGTCCCCTTCTCCTCATTCAGGGAGACATAGGGCACGGAGCTCTCTGTTCTTTCCTGATGGTGGCAGCTCCACAACAGCTGCCCTTTCTGGGTGTACTTCGAAGTTGGCAGCCGACTGGGACAGCCATGGGCAGCGTTCTCCAGGGCGCTGCAGGTAGGCCTGAGGCCTTGGGCAGGTGACTTAACCACTCTGAGCTCCCTGCATCTGCCGGATGATGATAATGCCACCTACCTTTCAGGGTGTCTGTGAGAATTGTAGCTAATGCTTTATAGAGTAACCATTCTTTTCATGGACAGTGACCATGCGGGAATGCATGGAAAATCAACACCTACAAAACCTCATGGATGGCCATGAGCTTGGGAGCCTAAGGAAGGAGTTTTTGGTTCCTCCCAGAGAGGAGAAACCAGCTGCTACTAACGGAGTTCATTGCTCACCTCGGTCCACCCAGGTGCTATCAGCTCGCAGAAATGTTACCTTCCTGTGGTATCGGGTAATCTCTGTATTCAAATTCCATGTGCACTAGACCTCACCACTCACTTCAGCTTCTGGGACGAAATGATCCCATAAGCATTGATCATGAGACTCAGATGCGTGAACTGAGAAAGACCCGAAAGAAGAAGGAGAACCTTTTCTCGATCTGGTTTGAAATTCACAAACTAGTTCTGACTGAAGTCATTGGCTTTCTCTAGAAGATGGGGGAAGAGAACACCTGGCATAAGCCAGGTGAGCCAACGTATTCAAAAGGAAGACTGGTGGTAGATCGCAAAGCACACCAGCTCATCACCACTGCCGCCCACCCACTCCCCAGTCTCACTGCGAAAGAATGCATGGTCCAGTTACCTCGCAGGAATCGAGAGACTTTAGATGGACTGCTGAGCTGCCATTAAAGGCCAGGAGTATTCAACACCCAGATCAAGAAAAGACTAGAAAGAAGGCAAACCACTAGTCTAGAGATGGCTGCTGGCGAGAACCATATACTAGGAGATGGAGAGGCCAGGTGTAGGGTTGCCATTGGAAACCCTGCTCTGTACCAGGGTCCATTCAACCCAGCCTCTTGCACCCTTGGTCTGGCTTTTTCCTGCTGGGGCAGGTGCTTTCAGTCTCTGGCAGTGTTGTCAGCCCCCGATTCATGGCAGCCCCAGAGCAGAATGAATCACGGCACGATGCTGGCCATGCCCACCACTGAGTGCCGATCTGCAGGGCTTTCACTGGCTGATTTTTGGAAGTAGCGCGTCAGCCCTTTCTTCTAGTCTGTCTTGGTTGGGACGTCCAGTGAAACCCATTCAACCTCCCAGCACCCCCCAAGCCCTCTCTGACCAATGGGTGGTGGTGGCACAGGAGGTGCATTTGCTGGGAATTGAACCTTGGCCTCCTGCACGAAGTGTAAACAGGATCCCACAGAACTAGCATTGGCCACCCACCTCCCATCCACCCCCCATGAGTGGAAATGAGTGTACGGTTACTTCTGTCCCTCCCACAGGGAGCCAGAGGGGCTGGTAGAGTAGATCCCTTCCCTCCTGGAGTTCTGATGGGATTGGCTATCTGGCTCATGTACTGGGGCTGGAGGAGACAGTACATACATGCACCCTCCCTGGCTGCTCTGTGAACACAGATCCCAGCAGGCTCTTAGGGAGTAGAGAAACGCTTGCCCAAGCTAAGCCAGGGGTAAACCCGTCACAAAGAGAAACAGAGTCCTTTGCAAATCCCTTGGTGCCAACTGTGCTCTTTGCTAATCAGCCTAATGGGAAATTTGTCTCTCGCCGGCTCTCAGCAGAAAGACACTGACTTCCCACTGCCCCCGAGGAGTGGGGCTGAGTACCTGAATGCAGTCGGCGTCTGCCGAAAGCAAACAGGTCAGCAGTCCACTTCAGTCAGCCTGAAGTCCGCTCCTGACAGCTGTCAAAGCCACTGCGAATCGCCGTGCCTCGCTGCGTAGAGGCCACCTGTGAGCCAGTCCAAGTTCTGCTTCATCTAGCTCGATACAGAAGCCCAGGTGGTGCTCAGCCGTGAGCCCCACAGTCAGCAATTAGAACCCTTCACACTCCTCTTCCATTGAAAGATGTGGGAGCCTGCTTCCATAAAGAGTACAGCCTTGCAAACCCAACAGGCAGTTCTACTCGGTCCCGTTAGGGTTGCTCTGCGTCAGAATCAGCTTCATGGCACACAGCACTGCCGAGGCTCCATACATCTCTTGAGGCTCTTTGGGCACTGCCAAGTTCCCCTTGGCATTGGACGGGCTGTGGTTTCCTTAGACCATCGGGGGCAGTGCAGTTGGGCCCAACAGTGGTCTTCTGGTGCTTACTGTTCTCAGCCTCTCCTGGCCTGGCTGTACCCTTCATGGCTATGCTGACATTCCTTTCCCGCCTTCTCTGAGTGTCCTATTAACCCATGTGTGCTTCCTTTACAGCGGCAGGATCCCGTATAAGGATATGTACAAATTAGTGCGGGTGATCTCGCCTCCTCTGGGCCTGGGAGAGAACTGCCCCTACAGGGTGGCTTGCAAGGTTTGCCCCCCAGCCCCCAGCCGTGACCAGCGGTGGGGTGCAACACCCAACCCCTCCTGTGCTCTCCTGCGCCACCACCTCCGCGCTACACGAGGGCGCCTTCACGTTGCTTCCCTTTGAGTTTAAAGAGGTCCAAACACTCCCAGAACCAGCAGCTGTGACTTACAGAGGAGGGCCACGTGCGGGGGCAAGGCAGGAGGCAGAAACAGCTTCATAGTGAAGGTTGATGTCCTCTCTCTCTCTCTCTCTCTCACACACACACACACACACACACACACACACACACTTCACCCCACCCACCATAGTCTGTAGATTGTATGAGAGAACCAACCCTTCTCTAGAGAATACAGACATCGTCCCACCCCAGCAAAGAGTTCTGGTTTCCCTTCACTGGAGCTAAGCAATCCCTCATTTTTCAAATTTGCCTCATCACCCCACAAATAATAGACCGAGGTGTGGTCTAGACATCCTTCTGGGGGCTTTGGTCTGGAGTGATGTAGGATTTGGACAGAATAGGGGCGGAGGACAGTAAGGAACCTGTGAGTGTAAGTTCAAGAGGCATAGGTTTAGCATGGGAAGCATTGAGTAGCTCCGAGGACCTGGGAAGGCCTCCACAGACCAGAAAGGATGGCTGAGCAGACTCCCTTCCTCAGCGTTCTGCCATCGACTGTTGATAGAGCTGTGGGCTCTGCCCTATTTGCCAAACCACTGCTTGTATGTGAGACCAAGGACATTGTTCAGAGGCATACAGGACCCCCGCCCCTCCAGCTCTGCCTTACGTATCCCAGCAGCTCTGCTGTCCAAGGCACGCCAGCTAGATAAGAAAACTCCAGGTGCCGCAGGAGGAAGGTGTGGCCCCCATGGGGCATAGCAAAGGTCAGGCCGCTGGAAGAAGACCTAGGCCCAGGAAGGCTGCCAGTCTGGGCAGTGGGACAGAGCTGGCTTGGGACAGGGACACTGTGATTCCCATGCGCGGGAGGCTGAACAGCTGCCTCTGCTGAGACTCTTTAAACTCCACCCTGGTGAGACCTGCAGCCGCATGTGGGGCGAGCCCGGAGGACAGCATGGCATGTTAGAGGCTCTCCTTCCTCTAGGCTTTGGTCCTCGGTCCCCAGCATGCCATTGACCTGGTGCATGCTGGGGAATCCAGAGCACTCTTCGCAGAGCCAGGTGGAAGCAACTGGGCCGACTCTTGACCGGCACCCCCAGCCACACTCTCTATGCAAGCCGCTGCCTCCTGCTGCAAGCACACCACCGAGGGGGCGGGGATACACGGTGCTCCAGCTGGGGCTTCCGGGTAAGAGAAGGGCCTGACTTGCAGGCCAGCACCCCCAGTCCCAGCCGGGCCCGCAAATTCCCAGCCAAGGCCGGAGCACCGTCTATCTGGTTTATACCACTCGCGCACAGCCCTGGGAATTCAGACCCACCTTGTGTTGTACTGAGGACGGATGTCGTGAAGCCAGGGTCCTGCTTATCCAGGAGGAGAAAGCCAGGCTGGGTGACGGAGCACGTGGAGAGTCCGGGACGGAAAGGTTCCCGCCGGTGTTCCCGGGTCTGTGTGGGGTGTGATATAAACGTGCACCAGGATGGACTCACGTGTATGATCTGCCTTGATTAACAGGTCTCCTATTCTTCTCCTGTGTGTCCACCTTGTGTTTGTCTGCTCCTGTTTCCGTATCCTTTTGTTCGTTTGTTCTGCTCTCTGGGAATGCCTGTTCTCTCCTCCCTGTCTGCATCCTCCTCCCTACGCCCGCTCCTTGCCCTGCCGCCCCACCCTGGCCCCACTCGCCACCCCCATGAGCAGTGGCCGCATCCATTACACTGAGATGTATGAAATGCTGACTCTCATGTCACCACCGCTAGGCCTCGGCAAGAGATGTCCCCCCAAAGTGGCATATAAGGTAGACTACCCCTTCCTTTGTTCTGGGCTAGAGACCGGCAGGTTCTGGGGCCCGGTGTGGGGCGGCGCGTGGGCTGGGTGAGAGGCGGCGGGTGCTGCGGTCCACGGGGGAAGGTCCACAGGAAGGGCGAGGATGACGTTGACAAGTCATTCGGAGAACGGTTTGCAATATTGCTCCAAGCTCTTTTCCTCTCGACTGTGTTCTTCTGTGTCTCCACAAGCGTGTGGCTTGGCGTGAGGGGGCTTCTAGAGAGGAAGGGTCCCATGGCACATTGCTTTTAGAGGAGACAGAGTGGCGGCCTGTGGAGTGGCACACGGGGCCGACAGCCCGGCAGCTACCAGAATTGATAAAAAGAGCAGCATTTTCTCAACCAGATAAATTAAGGACATCCCTCTAAACAGGGGTCAAGACGGGTCACCCATGCCCTCCTCGATAGCATAGGAAGGAATAGGGCATAGGTTCCTGCCAAGTCTGAGAGAGGCGAGACAGGAGCTTGTCCAACCGCTCAGGAAAACAGCTTTCACCTCCATTCGCCCCGCTCCCTGACGCCCTCTGCAATACTCAGGTGAAAGGTGATGGTGGGCCCAAGTGACCTTTCGTCGTAGCTTCACCTCCTCGGCACAGCTGATCCATGGGCCTGGCATGGGAGCTACAGGTGGAGTCCCCAAAGCTTGCTCAGAGCAGCGTTGAGGATTGGGGGTCACCTGCATTGCGGTGCGCACAGTCTGGCTGCTTTGCCTCCACCCGTTAGTAACAGTTGATTCTCCTGGGTGTCAAATTGGCCCAGAACCCTCGAGTTCTTTCATTCACTGAGAAATACACCGAAGCCATGTTGCTGCTTCTCTAGGGGTTTAAAGCCATGGGAGAGATGGGGCTCAGATACCAACAATCAATGGGCTCTCCATGCTAAGAGACCTTGTCTGCAGACTTGGTTGGAGCGAGATGCCCCAGGGGCCATGAGAACACCGCCTCCCTTAGAGGAGACCCGTCCCTCCTGGCCAGGCTGGTGGTTCTGCCAGAGGACCTGCTGCTGCTCCCTCCCGGGTAGCCCCTCATTGTACGTGGGCCATCGAGGTCCCCCACCCATCCACCCCAATCCATGGCCCCTAGTGCACAGCTTAGGGGCTTGGCATGCTCTGTGATCAAGATGGCCACATCCAAAAGTGCCAGGTCTTGACATGGCCGAGGTCTTGGCATTCCTGGAATGTGGGTTGGTGGGAGGCAAGAGTATGGGGTTGAAGGGAAAAAGCCCCAGGAATTCCAAAAATGAGATCCGCTCTGGACCGTGGATTTGGCCATTTCCGTTGGTTACCTTACCTTGGGTGAAAGGAGCAAGGCCTGCCCACTCTGCCCCTGCCTTTGTCACCCTTCCTGCACTCCCCTCACTTTTGTTGGCCCATCCCCTTTCCCCGGGCCCCGTTTGCCTTCCCCTCTCCATCCTGCTCCACCTCATCCTCTGGGTGAGTTGGACTTCTGCATGTTCAACCACGTGTTGGCACATTTCATCTCTTTAAGACTCAAAAAGGGGGCACCAGGATGCATCTCTCAAGTCAGATGAACAAAGCAGAATCTCCCCCTCCCTTCGCTACCTCTCCCTCTGTGTTTTGGGGTGCACACAGACCGAGTGGAGATGTGGAGTGGCCTTGAACTGAGGAATAGAGCCACCTCCCAGAGCTGGCTCTTCCCCAGCCGCTTCTCTTAGCAATGCTCCCCATCCCTGTCAGACATTCTTAGGACGATGGGAGAGTCCTACAGAATGACTGGCCAGACCCGTTCCCTTGGAATTTGGAATCACTCCTTAGGACAAACAAAAGAGCAGCAAATGAGCCTTAAGTGAGGAATGGGGAGAGTGGTTCTGGGAGGCGGGTGGGGAATCCTTGCCCTTCTTTTTGGTCTGTGCATTTGACCTCTGCCCTTCGCATCCCCTCGCACCAAGGTGTCTGTCGATATGCTTTTCGCCTGCTGTTTCTGTTCTCTCTTGCACACAGAGACTGGTCCTGATGAATATGCCTGTCGCCGAGGACATGACTGTCCACTTCACCTCCACACTCATGGCTCTGATCCGGACAGCACTGGACATCAAGATTGCGAAAGGTAAACTTTGGAAGGAAGGAGGGGAGACATGTTGGCAGGGGAGGAGGGCAGGAGGTGGGATGGAATGATTTTGGAACAACTGGTGAAGGGTGGCGGGGCACGGAGATAGTTGGATTGCCACCTTCCTGGCTAAACACACCCCTGTTTGCTCACCTGGAATGCTTGAACGCTTACACCGAGAGCCTAGGTTTCACCATGGGGCCTCAATGACTGATCTGTGTCATTTCCTTCTGGTAAAACGAATGACTTGGATCCTCTCAAAGGCTCCTTTCAGCGTTCACGGTATATTTCCTTCCGTGTCTGGTACGCGGGACGCATCGTAGGAGCATTTGTATATTGAACAAGTGACTTCTAGTTCTGTTCTAGTCGATGGCTCCTTCCGTGGAGTCAGCCGCGCTCTGGTAGGCGCTGCCACGGGGCCATGGGGACCCTTTGCTCACCTGAATTCTCACTGAGGGGTTTCCGTGAGAAAGGGCTTGCCACTTCTAGATGGACCTGCAGCTTTCCTGCTCTTGCCACACCGAGAGCCCTTTTAAAATTATAGGCAGGGGGGTTGCCGCAGGCTCTCTACCTAGACCGAGGCAAGGGAGGCTTACTCCTGACCAAGTCATTTCCTCTCTGATATGTGGAGCACCTGGGAGGCTTTTGTTTACTTCGATCTTTTAACAGTTTGGTGAGTGAGTGAAGATTTACAGAGCAGACCATTAGTTTTCCCTTCCGGAGTTCATACGCGTTTCGTTTCTTGTCATTGAGTGCAATCCCCACCGCGTGCCCCATTGTCCTCACTTCCTCCCTGTGTGTCCGGTTTCCATTCCTCCTTCTGCACTCTGTCCTTGGGTAATTGCCGCCTCGTGATCTTCAATGCTTGATTAACCCAAGGTGTGTGTGCCTCACTGTGTTCTTGTTCCCTGCATGGGCCTGTCTGTTGTCTGGCCGGCCACGGAACCTCTGGGATGGGGTCCCACTGGCCCCTCATCTGACCCGCAAGCCTGCTCTGTGCACGAGTCTGATTTGCTTCTACACTTCCGAGAGGCTCTGAGAAGCTTGGTGAAAGCCGGTCTTGGTCTCAGGGCCTCAGCTCCCAGGAGCTGAGTCACGGGAAATGGAAGCCAAAGTCTGTTCTGCTCCTTCAGCAGAAAGACGTGGTATCGGAGAGCGCTGACACTGCTGCCAAGAATTCCTCTCAGCATTTGAGGTGCCATGCCGAGTCAGCACCTGTCCCCACCTGCTCCCTCGGCCGTTGCTATCTCTCTGTCTATCCCGTTTTATTTAGTTTTAACATATCTTCTTCTAGGTGGGGCGGACAGGCAGCAGCTGGATTCGGAGCTACAAAAGGAGACCTTGGCCATCTGGCCTCACCTGTCACAGAAGATGCTGGACCTGCTGGTGCCCATGCCCAAAGGTGCGAGGTCTCCTCCTGGGGAGCCTTGAGACTGGGGGCCCAGTACAGTAAGGCCACATCCTTTGAGGCATATGGAGTGAGCCAGGGGACAAGGAGTTGCTCTCTAATCCTGAGGAAATCAGAATGTCTCCAAGTGCTGGTCGTTATTAAAAGGAAAGCATGTTTAGCAGGAAGGTCCCTGTGGTGACAAAGGGACATGGTTGGGTGCATAGCTCTCTCCCCACCCGGCCCGGCAGCTCCCCATGCAGATGGCACAGGGGTGGTGTTCCATAGATAGGAACGCCTGGTCTCATAGAAGGAGGTACTTGGTCAGGTAGTCTCATCGTCACATTAGTCACCATCCTTGGGTGTCTGTGCCTGCTGCCCAATGCCCGAGGGCAGAGGGGGAGACCTATTCGCATCAGTCACTCAGTGCCCAGCATGGTACCAGACCATAGACACAGCGCGGGTGAATGCGTGTAGCCCGCCTGCTCACCACCGGGGTTCAGGCCTGTCCGGCATCCCTCTCCCTCGCACCTATCTTTCCCCCTGCTCACCATATGCCCCATTTGTGTTTTCAGCCTCAGACCTGACTGTGGGCAAAATCTATGCAGCCATGATGATCATGGACTACTACAAACAGAGTAAGGTGAAGAAGCAGAGGCAGCAGCTGGAGGAGCAGGTGAAGGCCCACTCCAGCACGGGGTCTGGGTGGGATATGACATTTGGTAGAGACACAGGGAGTTGTATGGGGCTCCTGCAGGGTCAGGCCCTCGCATCTCTGGGGTCCGGAGCCCTGCAGGAGCTCCGAGTCAGAAATACAGGGTGCTGGGCCCTGGAGCTTCCTAGCGATGTGTGGGATTGACCGTGGGCCCTGCCCTGCTGAAGCAAGGGCTCACGTGCTCAGTTGATAAAAGGTATCAGTCCTGAGGAAGTTTTAGGGGTGAGTGAGTGTCTATCAGGAACAGCTCAGAGAAACATCACCCGTGGTACGCCAGGGACTGTTAAGTTAGTGACTGCTTTGCTGCGTATGTGCTCACAGCGATGGCGTAAAGGTATCAGTCGTGATCCCAGGTGCTTCAACTAAGTGGTGCATCCATCCCACCAGCAGCACGCCCATGGTCATTTTTCCTTCTTCTCACCTTTTACCCAGAAAAATGCCCCTATGTTCCAGCGCATGGAGCCATCGTCTCTGCCGCAGGAGATCCTCGCCAATGCCAAAACCCTGCCCTATCTGCAGCAGGACACCGTGGCGGGCCTGTGAGTGTCACCAAGCCAAACCCATCCTTTCTCGGAGGTTGAGAAGACTTCCTTTTGTATCTTCTCAGCAGGTGCCAAAAGCAGGCTGACTAAGCATGTTTAGGACTGTGATCCCTTCTGGGGGCAGGGCGTGCCCGTGAAGAGGCAATGGGAGGAGCAGGGGGCTTCTTCGCCTGCTTAGCCATCGTTCCGCAGTGAAGAATGATCATTTCCCAGTCTGATTGTTTCTTGCTGCTTCCCTGCGCAGCAAGTTGTAGTAACTTGCTAGGACATCCAACTTGTTTGGTTTGGTTTTTGACATAGGCTTTTATTACATTTCGATTTTTTTTTAATATGGGCTCCAAAAGTACATGGGGGGAAAAAATCCCATTATCTTTTAGTTCCATCTTCCCAGGCACTTTTGTTTGAAGGCCCCTCATACCATTGTAGGAGTCGCCGAGTGGCATTAACTCAGAGTATGATTAATAAACTGTTGTTAATCAAAAGGCTGGCCGTTCAAGTTCACCCAGAGCCCCCTCAGAAGAAATGCCTGGCAATTTACTCCCAAAAAATTAGCCACTGAAGCCCAGTGGAACACACTTCTACTCTAGCCCACCTGGGTCCCCTTAAATCCGAGTCAAGCCCATGGCAATGGGTTTAGTCCAGGGCCCCCATAATGAACAAAAGGTCTTAGATCAGGCAAGAAGCGTGTCTTGTCTTTTCTCTCTCGTGGACTTGGAACCAAACTCTCGTTAAGAATTGTCCAGTTCTTCCAAATGCAGGTCTTAACCTCAGTGAGCTATTCCAGCATAGACTTCTCATCTAATCATTATCTTTCTACTGCTAACAAGCATGTACTGGGCACCTGAAGGGCATGAGCCCCTGACCTCAGTGTCAATGTGTGCTTGTAGTTGGGTTTGGCACAATGGTAGTTCTCAAGGATTCCAGAAGCAATCATGATGAAATGGAATAATTAAAAGTAGTTATCAGAAGAAATTATTCAAAAAATAAATAGATGCAAGTCATGACATTGCTAATCACCTCCTACTCATGTAAAAGCTGGACAAGAAACAGGGAAGACCAAAGGAGAATCGAGGCATTTATATCATGATGTTGGCAAAGAAGACTGGCTATACTGTGCACTACGGAGAGAATGAACACATCTGTGTTGGAAGAAGGGCAGGCAGAATGCTCCTTGGAAGACTTGCCTCGTGTGCTTTGGTCACAGTATCAGGAGGGCCCAGGCCCTAGAGAAGCACATCATGGTAAAGAAAAGTTCAGCAGACAAGAGAGAGATTGTCAAGGAGATGGATTAACACCGTGACTGCAACAGTGGATCCAACATACCAGTGACTGTAAGGATGGCAGTACCTTGTTCCGTCATCATCAGGCCGGGTGACTCAATGGCACCTGGCACCAGCACCAACAGGTGAAACCAAACCTAGGGCAGGGAATGAGACCTCTGTTGGAAATCCACTTGGAATCTCGGACACCAGGAAGTTTTCTACTAATGGTCTCAGAGACCTGATTCAAATCCTTGTTTTCAGGTGTCACAATCCAACACATTTGGGAGAGGAGAGGAGGTGCAGAAATGTGACCAAGGCCGTTGGCCCTTTGTAGAAGTAATTTGATGTGATGAGGTCAAACTCAAACTCACTGCCAATGAAAAGAGCCTGATTCATAGCAGCCCTATAGGATAGATTTGAACCGACCCTGTGGGTTTCTGGGGCTATAAAAATGTGTGGGGACACACAGCCTCGCCTTTCTCCTGACGATTACCTAGTGGGTTCTAACTGTTGACCTTGCGATTAGCCGGTCCAACTCCTCTCATACTGCCCTGCTAACAGTGTGGATTTTCCTGTCTATGGGAAACCAGTTTAGATATTTCTTTTGGGCCTGTGCAGAAAGAGGATCAGGGGAGATGGTTGGGGCTGTAGGAGCGCATTGGAAGGGCTTATGGTGTTTTTCATGGATCCCTGGTTTAGAAATGGAGACATACATCCTCATGTAGATTGGTTTTATCTCTAACAATTTACTGTCTGCAAATTAATCCCACCTGGTGGAAAAACCAGACATGTTACAGCTAGCTAGTTATGAGAAAGAAGAAACGTTGTCATTTTCCTTGATTCAACTGCAGCTCTGAGAGGAAGGAAGGAAGCCCCAGCATGATATGATGTATGCACGGAATGCAGAGGCCTAGCCAGTTATCAGCTAGGGGGAAGGTTGGATCAGAAAAGACTCTCTTAAAGAAGTGAATTATTAATGTCTTCAACTTTTTTACAGTTTAGTTCGCATATAAATCATATAGCATCCAATTCAATAGTTAAATCATATTAAAACAAGTTGTACAGTCATCACCAGAAATGGTTTCAGAACATTTTCTTTTTTCTTGTCCTCATTGTTCTAACTCTCCATTTCCCCCCACTCTCTCGTGCCATACCCCCAAGACACCATTGATCCAGTTACTCTCTCCGTGGATTGACCTATCCTGGATTTCATATACAAACAGACCATAAAAACAAAGCAGCAGAAAACAGACAAGCCTCAATCAAAAAAGTTCTGAAGGATAAATCCAATAGTACACAAAAAGGAGTTGTTGGGGAAAGGAAGTGTTGGAAAGAAGTGTTGTGTTTGCTGGGAGCAGCACGTATGATGCAGGTTGTTATAAGGCAGAAAGGGGTCTGGTACACTCAACTCCAAAAGACCTGCATGTCTGCGATTCAGGGAGCAAGCAGGGTGTGAGGTGAGAAGAGAGGGTTCCAGGTTCCTGGCTTGATCCAAAAGGCAACGAAAGCCTAACAAGGGTTTAAGTAGGGTGCCATCAAGGTGCAAACGACTTGACTCTGTGAGGTTGTCCAGTGAATCCAAAGAGCCTGTCTCCTCACTGGCGGTTCTGCAGTTACTGATCATTCTCTGTGGACAAAAGAGCACATCACAGCTCTGCTTGTCTTGTTCCCGGCTCTTCTCAGGAGCAAGCACATTGCGGAAGATGGCTGACATTTGAGCAGATGACTTAAATATCAAATGGCTATGGAGCAGCTGTAAAAATGCAGCCGAAACCCTCATTGTTGAATGAGTGATGTTCTGTTCTTCTCATCTTCGCCTGTGATCCCAGTCTACGTCAGATTGTAAACCTGTTGCCGTAGAGTTGACTACAACTCACAGTGGTCCTATCAGACAACCAAGACCTGACTCACAGCGTTTCCAAGACTGTCACCTGTCACAGAAACAGACTGCCACAGCTTTCTCCCGAGGAGCCACTGACTTAATGGTTAGCAGTCATGGGCCTGGTCACAGTGCCACCAGGGCCCCTTTATGGAAGATTGTACCCACCTATTTTCAAGTCACTGGCCACTCTTAGTTGTGCCTCAGACGTTCCTTTGGGTGCTCTCTCCGGAGCAGCAGACTGACACTGCAGGAGAGGTGCTCCAACTCTCCCGCCTCACTCCAGGCCCCTGGTTAGAGCTGCCGTCCCGCCAGGGACCCATCCCTCTTCGCATAACCACAGCGCCCTTTTAGGTCCTTGATAGGGTGGAGCTGGTAGCTGCTCTGTCCTGGTGACAGTGAATGGTAGTAGGAGCCAAATTCTAAGAAAGGTTGGTTGTCTCTTTGTCTCCTCGCCAACTCAGTGGTGCCATGGGCCACGAGGGTCAGGTGCTCAAGAGCAGTGTGGTCGGAAGCATCGCTGTGACAGTTCTCCATACTTTTAGTCCTAGGTTCCTAAACCCTTGGCCACCTTTGCCCCTGCCCTCTTAACATTGTCCCCATCCTGACAGCCATTTTCTCCTCCTCAGAATCACCCAGATTCATGAACCAATAGGCAGCGTCTGGCGTCAAGTGGTTTTTCAATAAATATTCATTGAATTAAATTTAGTTTGGCCAGGATATTGGCACAATAAGACCATCTACTCACTAAGAGTGGGGAGAATTTTTAAAACACCGTGGCTACTTAATATTTAAACAAGCTGTTCACTGTTTAAATGATGACATTTTTCCACCAAATGGGGAAACTGAGCAGAAATGGGTTTGCAGTCTTAGCACTGACCTCCCATAGGGCTGAGTGTGACAAATAATGTTCTCAGTAAATGATGAGTGGCTCCAAAGGCAAGTTGGAAACAATAGCGTCTCTCCTTTCTGATGCATTTTTTAAAACTTCTATCCTGGGGCTCAGGCACCTGTACATTACTGGGCTTACAGGAGAACAAAGGCTAAAATTGGGTTGCCTTTGCTGGGCAGGATGTACTGCCTGGGTGGGAATTTAGTGGGCACGTGTGGCATGACTGTTTCTCTCTCTCTCTCTGTCTCATATTCCCTCTGAATTTTATATCACTTTTCAGGAGTGGCCGGAGTGGATACCCTTCGATGAGTCCACTCTCCCCGCAGGAAATATTCCAGTTGGCATGTATGGATCCAACCGATGATGGACAATTCCAGGAACAACAGTCTCTGGTGAATGAATGAGTAACATGGCCTGGAAGATCTTTCTTTGGTTTCCTGCTCTCTCCCACCCTTATTTCCAAATGTTATTTCATAGTCATGATTCAGCAGAAAAACCCACCCTGCTAGTCCAGCCAATTCCCTCAGGAATGGCCTGTCTTTACCCTTTCATGGCTGAGTTTCTCATGTTCTCTATCAAATGCTCATTCTTCAGGTTTTACGATCCCTGAGGCCCTTTAACCACCCACTGCAGAGACTTGTATTGCCTCTGGCCAATCCCTCTTAGCTTATACTTCTGAGCATCTAATATAGAAGCAAATGCCGTACATATAGCCTGGCCTTTGATACAGGGCTTCAGGTGAGCCATCGTAGAGGAGTGGTACCAACAGGACAGCTCAGGGCTGGGCAGCCAGTTCTGCTCCCGAGAGCACAGCATGGTCCCAGGCAAACCTTCATGACGTCCATCTTCTCAGGAGCCTCAGCGCACTGTGTGATCGAGACTAGCTCCTGACTAGAAGGCGGAGGTGTCCCTGGCGTCTGTGTTCTGTGGGTTCTGATCACAGTTCTACAAGGTCAAAAGCAGGCTGCCAGGTCCATGAGTTCCTTACTAACATAAATGGTGACCTTTTCTTGAGATCCATTGAGTCCAACTCAAGTTTACAGTAGCCAGGGCAGATTAGTGTTCAGGCTTTGCTGATACAAAGGTGAGGTGAACTTCAGGAGACACGAGATCAAGCTCCCTCCTGGCCTTAGAATTAGAGCCGGGGTGTTCATTGGCCTTGAGACCAAAAAATAGTCAAAACCTCAGCCTTTTGATGGTTGTTTTTGGTTGAGATGGACGTGTTTGTCACGCAAGATGCCAAGTCCTTTTCAGTTTTACTCTTCCTCAGCCTTTTACAACTGCTCTCCCTTGAGAGCCCACCTAGGCAGCTTGCACGAAGCAAGTTCAGCATCACTGGGATTACAGCACCCGTGTGATTTTCCCCTCTCTCATCCCTCTCCTGGAATAACTCAGACCTAGCACCACCCTGAAGGGAGGTCCTACGTGCTGTGTGGGGTGGCCTGCTTGTGGGGTGCATGTCTGGTGGACGATGGATACCATACAGAGCTGAAAAAGCCTCTCCAGGGTTCAGAGAGATGAGTGCTTTAGTCACCCATCTGAGGTTGTAGAGATGGAGAATTGCACGTGGTTGTGTTCAGGGAGACAGCCCCCCCCCCCCCAGGTTCCCCAGAGATTGTGAGTGGTTGCCTGAGGGAGTGCTTGATTGATGAAGGGGTGGGAAGAATTGATGGAAGGATTTCCTCCCTTTCCCTCTGAGAAATGGAGCCCCAAAGCCCAAGGAATCCCTGGGGCCCATCCTTCAAGGTTGCCTCACAGCGGCCTTGAGTTTGCCAGTCCGATGACGGGTCTGGTGAGAACGTCTGAATACCGTGCCCTTTCTTCCACAGGGAAGCTTTCCTTACTGTTCCACCACTTCTGTGGGCTCTCAGACCAGGCCATAGTGCCAGGACTCTTTGGCTACATGTCCATCGTCTCATTGTCAGTACTGGTGTCTGTACTTCAGTCCAGGTGTCAGCCCGTGCTGCACACTCACCACTGTGCCCGCCTGGCCATCCAGGGGGCTGCTGCTCCGTGTCCCGAGGCGTGGCCGTGACTTGTATGTGTGCACATGGAGTGTGCGTATGTGTGTGTGCGTGCGTGTGCGTGTGTCTTCCACGGCCTGGGATACCCATGGACCGCAGTGTTGTGCCGCATCTGTTTGGGGTCAGACCTGTTGGCTGTATAAAGCCTGTCCTGCAAACTCTGTCACTCCCTCCGGTGCACACATCGCGTCTACTAGAAGACTCCCCACCCCACCCCACTTCACACCAGACACCACTCTGCCATGCCACAGAGGCTCAGAGGCTTGGCACGCACCATTTGCTTTGGGCAGGGCCCTACTCATACACTCAAGTCTTTCCCTAAGAAGAGTTTTTTTTTTCTTTTTTCCCCCCTAGTCTAGTTTCCAGATATCTAACTTGTTCTAAGTTTCTTTCTTTGGTGGCCCAAGTCAGCCCCTCTTAGATGGCTCCATTCTCTGTGCACTGCCACTTGCTATGTGTGTAAAGCATGCATACCAGCCATACGAATGTTCTCAAATAAGAAAAATCACCCGAAAGAATTGGGCAGGGGATCTCTGGCCATCTTCCTAATGCTCCAGAGCAGCACCGCTCCAGAAGAGAGCCGCTAGCCTCATGTGACCACTAAGCCCTTCCACAGGGCTAGTCCCAATGACGTGTGCTGAGCATGTAAAATACATACTGACACTTGTCAAAGGCTTGAGTATTTTTTTTAAAAAGAATGTAAAGTATCTAGTTTTATAATGGTTATATGCTAATATGGTATTTAAATCTATATTGGGATAAACATGTTTTTCAAATCCCGTGTTGCCTTTTATGGTCTTTTTGATTTTGTTTTTACTGTGATCCATGAGATCTTCAAAAGGGCCAGCCACTCTGAGAGAGGAGACGGGCTTCGTACCCTCGGAAACAGTCCCGCTCTCCACCCCTCACCGGGCCAGTTCCACCCTGTCCTGTGGGGTCGCTCTGAGGCGGCATCGGCTCAGTGGCAAGAAGCGTGGAGGCATGTGAAGGGTTAAATCCTGGGTGGCTTGCATTTTATTTCCTTGGAGACACTCGTCTAGAGCATTCTGACAGATGGCCGCTCGCCACCTTTTAGGATGACTTCAGTCCTAAGAGAATTCTTACCTAATAGAATCAGGTGTCTGGAAGCCGGGGACCATTGTCTTTTGAGTAACATGGCAGATTGACACACCTCTAAGGTGGGAGTGTCTCTGCCAGTGATGAGGGGCTTCTTCCCACTGCAAACCCAACAGCGCCACCCTCAGAAAGTAAACTCCACATATCTAACAGTGCTGCCCCCGGTGCTGTAAAGTCAGAAGCCTTGCTCCAGGATGGGGACAGAAACACACGGCAGTGAGGCTGGATGAGGAAAGGTGACCTTGTCTCTCAGTTCCTGTGCAGGAAATTAAAGAGAAAATGGAGCAAAGAAACCTTCATTGAATTTGAATTTGGAGTAGATTTCCTGAGCTGCACACACACATACACACACACAACGGAGTCACACAAACAATGGAGACTTTCAGGATACAGGTCTCTTCTCTGAAGGCCACTCTCTGTGTGGAGGAAGCAGAATATCCCCTGGAGGGAGAAACAGTGAACCGGAATCAAGTCCCACAAGCATGGCTGTGTGTTTATTTCCAGGAGCCAGAGGTTAGTGAATTAGAAAGCGTGCAGGCCTCTAACCATGGCACCTACCTTCCTCCGGACACCCAGGAGCACGCGGGATCTGGGAGGGCAGCCTCTATGCCACGCCTGACGGTGGATCCCCAGGTAAAAAGCAACCACCACCCACCACATGCAGTGTGGCAACCCGTGCTGGATTGAACTGGTGGGTCATGAAATAATCGCTGCTATTTTCAGGGGAGCTCTCGACTTGGCCCTGTCCCGTCAGCAAGACCTCCTCTAAGAGACCCTGCTCCTTGGCTTCCTGTGTTTTCAGTGAACCCCTCACCACACAGCCTAGGCACCAAAGTGGCTCTCAAGGCTCCACCAGCCGTGCAAGAGATCCTTTAGAGAATGTCTTCCTGTCCTCCTCCCCTGGTTGCCCCAGCACATGCACCACTCACACACAACTCTGTTTGGGGGCTGTCTTGTCCTGACCAGTGCAGGCCACGCCTCATTTCTTTGTCTGTTTACCTGGCTTGATTTTTTTCCTGTCTGTCTGTCTTACATCAAGTTTTGACAGAGACAAGAAGTTTTTGTGGGTCTGTTTTGATATCTGTGACAAATCACAATGCCAGCATTTGGGATGGGGACTAGGTGGGCCCGAAGGTCTGGGGAGAGCGTCACCACGTAGCATCCTCTGAAGCTATTTGATGGCTCGCTCTCCTCCCACGTAGTAGGGCAAGGCCTTCTCTCGGCGATGGGGAAGAAGGCAAACTCACGCTTCTTCCATGAGGTAGACTTTTTGGCAATCACTGTAGACCAGCGGTTCTCAACCTGTGGGTCGCGACCCCTTTGGAGGTCAAACGACCCTTTCACATGGGTCACCTGATTGACAACCGCAGCAAAATTACAGTTATGAAGTAGCAACGACAATAATTTTATGGTTCGGGGGGTCACCACGACATGAAGTGTATTCAAGGGTTGCTGCGGCATGAGGAAGGTTGAGAACCACTGCTGTAGACTTGTTTCAGAACTGGGCCCACCGAGCCCCTCTAGTAGACGGCTCTCTGGGAA